AGTGATAGTGATAGTGATGGTGATGATGATGATGCTGCTGATGATGTTGGCGATGATGAGGATGATGATGATGATGACGATGATGATAATAAAAATGACGATGGTAATAATGATAACGATGATAATAGGGGACGCTTCAGATGACGACGATGATGCTGATGATGACGACGGTGATAGTGATGATGTTGATGATAATGATGGTAATGATGGTGATGGTGATGGTGATGGTGATGGTGATGACGAAGCTGCTGATGATGCTGCTGATGACGATGAGGGTGATGGTGAAGGTGGTAGTGATAGTGATAGTGATAGTGATGGTGATGATGATGATGCTGCTGCTGCTGATGATGTTGGCGATGATGAGGATGAGGATGATGATGACAATGATCATGGTGATAAATGTGATGATGGGGGCGATGGGCAGAGGGAACTGGTGGAAGGGGAGGAAGAGGAGGGAGTGAACAGAGGAGTGAGAAAGAAGAGGAGAGGAGGAGAGGACAGTAGAGAGGAGAGGAAGGAGAAGCGCGGCGCTGCGACTTCAAAACGAGGACCGAACACACAGGAGGGCTGGGAACATACAGGATGAACGGTTGAGCGAAACACCCGGGGTGGGCCATGAGAGATTATATGTTGATGTCACCGCGGTGCGGCTTGGAATACAGTAGGGGCCTGACCACAAGAAACCTTCCACAAGAAACCCAACCCTGAGACCCCAGAGCGTCCATAGATGTTTGGTGTGGGAACGTCACGCTTTCCATCGCAGAATCATCGAAAACCAAGAAACTCATGGCAACCTGGAGGCAAGCAGGGTGTTTCTTGACATAGGTCTCCACACTGTAGGCTGCACACAATGGGCCAGCGACAGGGCCACCCTAGAAATTAGCCTGGCGAAAGACCCAGCCATACGCAGTTGTGAATACCGCAGTTGTGAATACCATCTTCGCCCACGCTCCCTATGTGGCCACGGCTTCCCGCCGGAGCCCGACATGCTCAAAGCACGTTCGCGGCCGTCTTCGCGGGCGCCGACGACGACGAGGACGGCGCCCCCTGACCGAGGAGCAGAAGCAGGAGAGGGCTCTGAGAGCCATGAGGGAAGATGCCACTGGGGCCTTCAATGGAGCTCCCTATGGGGCAACGATCCTCGTGAGGGGTGTACCGTAATGGCCCGAAGCCGCCATGCGAACCCTGCCACTGGCGTCTTCGGTGGAGGTCCCGGTCTTCGTCAGGGGTGTGCCGTAATGGCCCGAGGCCGCCATGCGAACCTTGCCACTGGCGACTTCGGTGGAGCTCCCTATGGGCCACGATCCTCGTAAGGGGTGTGTCGAAATACCCCGAGGCCGCCATGCGAACCCCGCCACTGGAGCTCCCTATGGGGCCACGAAACACGAAACGTGTGAGGGGTGTGCCGAAATGGCCCGAGGCCGCCATGCGAACCCCGCCACTGGGACCATAGGTGAAGCCCCCTATGGGGCCACGAAACGTGTGAGGGGTGTGCCGAAACGGCCCGAGGCCGGCATGCGAGTTCCGCCACTGGGACCTTAGGTAGAGCTCCCTAGGGAGCCACGAAACGTGTGAGGGGTGTACCAAAACAGAGACATGCGGAGAGCAAAGGCAAGGAGGGGGAGGAGGAGGAGGAGGAGGAGAGGAGGAGGAGGAGGAGGAGGAACGCGGGGCGCCGTCTCTTCAAAACGAGGACCCAACACCACAGGATGGTTGGGAGAAAAGCTCACCGTCCTCGCCCTCCTCGGTGGGGCTGCGCACCTGCTCCCGAGACCTTGAGGAGGAGCAGCAGCAGCAGCCAGCAGAAGGAGCCACCGTTTGCCATATTCACTTTCCCGATGCCCGCTGCGACCCAGCTCCTGCTCCTCCTCCTCCTCCTCCTCCTCCTCCTCCTCCTCCTCCTCCTCCTTCCTCCCCTCCCTCCTCCTCCTCACTCCTCCTCCCTCCTCCTTCCTCATCCTCCTCCTCCTCCTCCTCCTCCTCCTCCTCTACTCCCCCTCACCCTCCTCCTCTGTCCTCCTCCTCCTCCTCCTCCTCCTCCTCCTCCTCCTCCTCCTCCTTGTCATCGTCCTCGTCCTCGTCCAACCTCAAGGGCCGCAAGCGGAGCCCAGCACGTCCAACATCTGGCTTCGCAAGACCCTGCAGGATCTGGCGCTCTGGCTGAGCACCATTGCCACACCGCCGACGTCATGACTCGTTCACGACGTGACCCAAAAAAGGCTGGACTCCTTCCCCGGGCACCGGCTTTTCATCCTGAATCGTTTCTTGACGGTCCCGGGGGCCTGCCGTTTTCTTAGGTCGGGCATGTCTCCCTACAGGCGGATTTTGTACGAAAATTTAAATTAGCCTGGCGAAGAACCCAACCATATGCAGATGTGAGTACCGCAGCTGTGGGTTTCATCTTCAGTGGAACTCCCCATAGGACCACGGAACGTGTGAAGGGTGAGCCGAGATGGGTGCCACTGGGGCTGTCGGTGAAGCTCCCTATGGGGCCATGAAACACGTGCGGGGTGTGCCGAATTGGGTGGCGGAAACGCATGTGACGGCCGCCAGTGGGGCCTCCGGTGGAGCTCCCTATGGGGCCCCGAAACATGCGAGGGGGATGCCGACATGGGTGGCTGAGACGCATTTAAGTGCCGCCACTGGGGCCTTCGGTGGAGCTCCGTATGGGGCCACGAAACGTGTGAGGGGTGTACCGGGATGTGAAGCGACAACGCATGTGAGCGCCGCCACTGGGGCCTTCGGTGCAGCTCCCTATGGGGCCACGAAACGTGTGAGGGGTGTGCCGAATTGCGTGCGGGTGACGCATGCGGGCGGTGCCACTGGGGCCTTCGGTGGAGCTCCCTATGGGGCCACGAAACCTGTGAGTGGTACGCCGAATTGGGTGGGTGTGGGTGACGCATTTGAGCGCCGCCACTGGGGCCTCCAGTGGAGCTCCCTATGGGGCCACGAAACCTGCGTAAGGGTACGCCGAATTGGGTGTGCGGGACGCATGCGCATGTGAGCGCCGCCACTGAAGCCTTTGGTGGAGGTCCCTATGGGGCCACGAAACCTGTGAGTGGTACGCCGAATTGGGTGTGCGGGACGCATGCGGGCGGCGGCACTGGGACCTTCGGTGGAGCCCACTATGGGGCCACGAAACGTGTGAGGGGTGTGCCGAATTGGGTGTGCGGGAAGCATGCGGGCGGCGGCACTGAGGCCTTCGGTGGAGCTCCCTATGGGGCCACGAAACGTGTGAGGGGTGTGCCGAATTGGGTGTGCGGGACGCATGTGAGCGCTGCCACTTGAGCCTTCGGTGGAGCTCCGTATGGGGCCACGAAACGTGTGAGGGGTGTGCCGAATTGGGTGTGTGGGACGCATGCGGGCGGCAGCACTGGGGCCTTCGGTGGAGCTCCCTATGGGGCCCAACCACGAAACGTGTGAGGGGTGGGGCCGAATTGGTTGTGCGGGACGCATGCGGGCGGCGGCACTGGGGCCTTCGGGGTGGAGCTCCCTATGGGCCACGAAACGTGTGAGGGTGTGCCGAATTGCGTGCGGGTGACGCATGCGGGCGGTGCCACTGGAGCCTTTGGTGGAGCTCCCTATGGGACCACGAAACCTGTGAGGGGCGTGCCGGGATGGGTGGTGGGGACGCATGTGAGCGCGGCCACTGGGGCCTTCGGTGGAGCTCCCTATGGGGCCACGAAACGTATGAGGGGTGTGCCGAATTGGGTGTGCGGGACGCATGCGGGCGGCGGCACTGGGGCCTTCGGTGGAGCCCCAATGTGTCCGATCGAAACGTGTGATGGGTGTGCCATTGGGTGTGGCGTGGACGCATGCGGGCGGGGGGGGGCCCCGGTACTGGCCTTCGGTGGCGCTCCCTATGGGGCCACGACGTGTGAGGGGTGTGCCGAATTGGGTGTGCGGGAACGCCCATGCGGAGCGGCGGCAACTGGGTCCTTTCGTGGAGCTCCCTATGGTGCCACGAAACGTGTGGAGAGGTGTGCCGATTGGGTGTGCGGGACGCCATGCGGCGCAGGCAGCACTGGAGCCTTCAGGTGGAGCTCCCTATGGGGCCCACGAAACGTGTGAGGTGTGCCGATTGGGTGTGCGGGACGCATGCGGGCGGCGGCACTGGGGCCTTCGGTGGAGCTCCCTATGGGGCCACGAAGCGTGTGAGGGGTGTGCCGAATTGGGCGTGCGAGACGCATGCGAGCGCCGCCACTGGGGCCTTCGATGGAGCTCCCTATGGGGCCACGAAACGTGTGAGGGGTGTGCCGACTTGGGTGTGCGGGACGCATGCGCGCGGCAGCATTGGGGTCTTCGGTGGAGCTCCCCATGTGGCCACGAAACGCGTGTGGGGCGTGCCGAAGCTGATGCCGAAGCTGATGGCGATGATGGTGACGATGATGAGGACGATCATGATGACGAGGAAGGGGAAGGAGAGGGAGGAGGGGGAGGAGGGGGAGGAGGGGGAAAGGAGGGGGAGGAGGGAGGAGGGGGGGAGGAAGGAAGGAGGAGGGGGAGGAGGAGGAAGGAGGAAGGAGGAGGAGGAGGAGGGGGAGGAGGGGGAGGAGGGGGAGGAGGAAGGAGGAGAGGGGGAGGAGGGGCGGAGACGCGGGCAGGACCCCAACACCACAGGACGGGTGGGAATTCGTCCACAACTGCCCAACAGCAGCCCAAAAATCATCGGGAGATCGTCCCCGAAGGCGCCCAAAGAGGCCCCAAAAAGGCCCCCAAGAGGCCCCCAAGAGGCCCCCAAAGACGCCCCAAGAGGCGCCCAAGAGGCCCAAAAGAGGCCCCGAGAGGCCCCAAAACGGCCCCCAAGAGGCCCCAAAACTCGGCTAGCCCACAACTGTGCGACAATATGGGCCGGCGGAATGAGCGAAGCGATTAAATAATCGGGAAATCGTCCCCTGACTATCTTGACTATGTTTGAATACACCTCCTGTAGAGGAACAGGCCCGACTTAACCGTTGTCTCGACGGGCCCGCCCCCCCTTGGCTGGCGTCCCCGCGAACCTGCCGCAGCGGGCAGGTGCGCAGCAGCAGCGCCAGGCTCCCGAGGGCTGCCCTGCGCACCGACACGGACTCGTCCGCCGCCATGCTCTCCAGCGCCGTGAGCTTCCGAGGCATCCGGGGAGGAGGGGAGCTGGAGGCCTCCCAAAGAGGTGGGACCAGGATTCGGGGAGACGTGAGACTCGGGTGCGGGGGTCTCGGGTTGGCCTGACGGGGGCCAGCATGAAAATGACGAGACCTAATCTGAAAATGAACGCGGGTTCCCGCTGCAGACATCCCACGAAAACCAGACCGTCAAAATCCAGGACGCGCTCGTCAAAAAAAATCGGCAAACCCGAGTTCCGGCTTACTCGAGTCTTACGTTTCCCTGAAAGATACGTGTGGTCGGACGATTTCGCCGCATCGCCGGTGCATCGGCGA